GTGTAAGGAGAATGTATGTGTGTGAGAGGGCCAGAATGAATTATGGCTTGTATGGCCCCTCATAACTCTGCACGTCTCACTTGTTCTTAAAAATCGGCACCAACACACTTCTCCATTCCTCAGGCATCCTCTCACTCTCTAAGACCTTGCTGAAAAACCTAGTCAAAAACTCTACGCCATCTCTCCTAGACACTTCCATACCTTCACAGGTATATCATCAGGACCAACTGCCTTTCCACTCTTCATCCTCTTCAATGCCCTCCTCACTACATCCTTACTAATCTTTGCTACGTCCTGCTCCACAATGGTCACCTCTTCTACTCTTTGTTCTCTCTCATTTTCCTCATTCATCAACTCTTCAAGTACTCTTTCCATCTTCCCATCACACTTGTGGCACCTGTCAATACATTCCCATCTCTATCCTTAGTCACCCTAACCTGCTGCACGTCCTTCCCATCTCTATCTCTCTGCCTCGGCAACTTGTATAAATCAGTCTTTCCTTCCTTACTATAATGCAAGTCATCGTATACCTTTGTTTGGCCTTTGCCACCTCTACCTTCACCTTACACTGAATCTCCCTGTACTCCTGTCTACTCTCTTCAGTCCTCTCAGTGTCCCACTTCTTCTTAGTGAACCTCTATCTCTGATTACACTCCTGCACTTCCTCATTCCATCACCAGGTCTCCTTATCTCCTTTCCTTCCAGATGACACACCAAGTACTCTCCTACCTGTCTCTCTGATAAAATTAGCTGTAGTTGTCCAGTCAATTGGGAGCACCTCCTGGCCACCCAGAGCCTGTCTCAACTCCTCCCTGAAAACCACACAACCCTCTTCCTTTTTCAGCTTCCACCACTCCGTCCTCTGCTCTGCCTTTATCCTCTTCATCTTTCTCACCACCAGAGTCATCCTACACACCACAATCCTATTCTGTCTGTCTACACGCTCCCCTACCACGACTTTGCAGTCACTGATCTCCTTCAGATTACATTGTCTATGCAAGATGTAGTCCACCTGTGTGCTCCTACCTCCACTCTTATAAGTCACCCTATGTTCCTGCCTCTTCTGGAAGAAAGTATTCACTACAGCCATTTCCATCCTTTTTGCAAAGTCCACCACCATCTGTCCTTCTGCGTTCCTATCCTGGATACCAAACCTGCCCATCACTTCCTTATCCCCGCAGTTCCCTGTCCGACATGTCCATTGAAGTCTGCATCAATCACCACTCTCTCACCTCTAGGGATATTCTGCATCACTTCATCTAACTCACTCCATTATTTCTCCTTCTTTTCTAACTCACATCCTACCTGTGGGGCATAACCACTAACAACATTGAACATCACACCTTCAATTTCTAGCTTCAGACTCATCACCCTATCTGACACTCTTTTCACCTCCAGAACATTCCTAACAAACCCCTCCATCAGGATAACTCCTACTCCATTTCTCTTCCCATCCACACCATGATAAAACAGCTTGAACCCTGCTCCTAAGCTTCTAGCCTTGCTACCCTTCCACCTGGTCTCCTGAACACACAAAATATCCACCTTCCTTCTCTGTCAGCCAACTCTCTACCTTTCCCTGTCATAATTCCAACATTCAAAAACTCAGTTCCAGACTCTGGCCTTTCCTCTTCTCTCTCTGCCTACGGACACGCCTCCCTCCTCTCCTTTTTCGACTAACAGTCTAAAATAGTCTGTGGTGTGGATCTATATTCAGTAAAAATTGCTTCCAATAAGACCAAAGAAAGTTCAGAGCACTCTGAAGAACAATCAGGAGGCTGATCAGAAGTCCAATGCAAGGAGGTTTATTCTTTGTTCAGAGATGAAATCCAAATAAACCCATTTGAGTTGGTGGTCCAGACGAAGAACTGAATCCCAAAGGCTTGGGTACTGACCCTTATACTCGGTCTCTCTCTCCTTCTCTTGCTCACTTTTTTAAGTTTTTAACAAATCATATGTGTAGAACTACTCTTATTTTTTTTAATTCACTGTCACAACATCAACTCTACGTCACTTGACCCCTGAAAGACCCCTGGAAACCCCCTCAAACCAGTTAAAACTGGTTGAGAGGGTTGTTTTTCTCAAAAGTGTCGACCTCAGCAGTTTTCGTCTTCCCTTATCTTATATATCTTCCATTCCCATCTTCCCTTCATGTATATCCAGGTCTCAGTTGGTGTGTATGTTGCTGGTGCTGGGACTGGCCTTGGGGTGTGTGTATTTCCCAGGCTGTGCATGTACTATGGTGTCTATTAGCCTGTCAAGGCGCCTAGTCTCTCTCTGCTTGGAGCTGCTCCCTCCTTCTCCTGGCTTGCTTTTACTATGGGGGCTTCATTCTACTATTATATTCGGATCTTGCTTGGCTTTTTCTTTTAAATTCACACAGTGATAACATATTGATGATGCAGTAGTAATGTATTGATGACACAGTGGTAATATATTGATTATATATTGATACTACAACTCAACACACAGTAATTACACTTAGATTTTGGTGCTCTTGATTACCTTTTAACTCAATTTGATAAGATCATGTACACACACATACACATGCATATATTCATCCACACACATAATAATAATCAAATAGCTGTTAAAACAAAACCTCAACACCTGCCCGACCTTGTTATTGACTTTTTTGGCCATCTACAGCTGTCCCTTGACGGGGAGATACTGTCACAGTAGCCACTTTTCACCTGCAATACATACCATCCTCTCAGCTCACTCAGTAATTTTCCATTTACCACGCCTTGCCACCACACCTACCTGCCAGTTTATCATCTGCCCACAAATTTCCTGCTTCTGCCTGTGTGCCACACCCACCTCGTCAGGCCAACTGCTCTCTCCTGTGGATCATTACCTCCTGTTACTATGAAGTCTGATGCTTTACAGACTCTCCTTGCCAGATTGTTCTTAGCCCACGTGCAAGACTTTTCAACACTTCTTACCTGCCTGATCTCCTGTTACTGACCCTGCCTGCCTCTGACTGGCCTACATTGTCTGTTTCCCAATGAACTCACCAGCCTTCTGTCCCCTCCTGTCCACGAGTTCTGCCTCAGTGTCTCTGGTTTCTGTCTGCCTGTGGCAGTGTCTGCACAGTGCCTTCTTTGCCTGTGTTTAATTGAAGGTCATTACCAACTGTCACTGACTTTTGGAGTGCCACATTGGGGTTCAGTCATACTTGTTACAACAAGATCAACACCATGAGCCACAAAGAGCACTACCCTCCATGGAGGAGGCTGGAGGCCAAGATCAAGTCGACACAGAGAGAGGTTAGTCAACTCTCTGAGCTACAGAAAGGTGTGGGGAAGAAAGGAATACCTAGGAAGTATAACATACTGTCTATACCTGTGGCATTGGAGACTGCCAAGCAAATGCTTACAGCGCAGGCTACCCGCCTAAGGACAGGACGAGAGGGGAGACAGGAGACGGGAGAGGACTCCTACGTTACAGCAGCAAGCAATCAAACAGTATGTGGACATTAGAATATAGAATATATACAAAATGAGTAGTACTAAAATTTAAAACATTTACAAAAAATATACAGGAATAAAATAAAGACTATCAAATTGCAGGAGTAAAAAGATTAAAGAGATAGTGAGATACACATGAGAAGAAGAAGCCAGGAGAATAAATACTGATCGATAGTGCAGTCAACCAAAACTGCAAGACCAGTCAGACCAACCTGTGCACTGCCTGGATTGACTACAAGAAAGCCTATGACTCAATGTCACACACATGGAAACTGTAACGCTTGGAAATGTAGAAGATCAACAGATCACGAAGAGCCTCCATCAAGAACTCAATGGGGCTGTGAAAAATGACGCTGGAGGCCAACTCAAAGCTAATTGCACAAGTTACCATCAAGTGCGGCATATACCAAGGTGATACATTGTCCCTGCTACTGTTCTGCATAGGCCTGAACTCCCTCAGCCAACTCATCACAAAGAGTGGCTATGGATACCGGTTCCGAGCAACCATCAGTCACCTCCTCTACATGGATGACATTGTAGGCCAGGAATGAGCAAGATATCAACTCAGTGATCCACCTCACCATGATCTACAGCAATGACATTGAAATGTCATTTGGACTAAATAAGTGTGGTTGGATGGTGTCAAAGAGAGGGAAGATGATCACAACCGAGGGGGGTGAACTACCATAAGGCATCATAGCAGATGTTCAGGACAGCTACTAATACCTTGGGGTCCAGCAGGCAAATGGGAACAATGAGGAGGCTGCAAGGAGGTCAGCCACAGCCAAATACCTACACAGAGTAAGGCAGGTCCTTGAAAAATCAGCTGAACAGAAAGAATAAGGTCCGGTCCGAGCCATCAACACATACACCCTGCCAGTCATCAGCTACCCCACTGGTATAATAAGCTGGCCGAAGGAGGAGACAGAGGCCCCTGATATCAAGGCAAGGAAACTTCTCACAATGCATGGAGGGTTTCATCCCAAATTCAGCACCCTGAGACTGTACACTAAGCACAGCAAGGGGGGACAAGGACTGGTGGGCGTCAGAGCCACTGTCTGGAGCGAAACATCCAAGATCCAGGAATACATCAGAAAGATAACCCCCAAAGATGAGCTGCTAAGTGAATATCTCAGACAGCAAAAACCCAAGAATGCAGAGGAGAAGGATGAACCATCATGGAAGCACAAGCCCCTGCACAGCATGTGCCACTGACAGATTGAAAAAGTGGCCGACATCAAGAAATCCTACCAGTGGTTGGAAAAGGCTGGACTGAAAGACAGCACAAAAACACCAATCATCAATAAACTAACTGGCACAGTGTGCAAAAACATCTGCACAGAGTATGGGCTGGAATGAATGAATGGAAGCCATCTCCTGTATACACATCTATCTGTATACACAGTTTTGCTGGATCTCTGTTTTTGCCTGGTTGCCTGTGTACCCATCAGTTTAAGCATCTGTTTGTTCCTTGTTTGTTTTGTTTTCCTTTTTTTTGGTCTGGATTTCTGTTGTATGTCTTTGTCTTACTTTATATAATCTCTCTTGACCATTTATGTCTCTCCACTCTTGTCCACTTGTCCTCTTGTTGTTCTGTTATCACCACATTACACAATGAAAAAAAATTAAATAAAAAAAAAGATTAGATGAGCAGTTAGTTCATCGTTCATTCTTAATTTGTTCTCTGGTAACTACAATAAGGGACACAAATTTTTTAAGTAAAGTGTCATTGTCTTTGCTCCTTAACTGTCACTGTACTGCCAACGTTTTCAGTATATACTATTAGACATAACATAGAAGTGTTTACTGAAGCAGCTTTAGCTAAAGTTTTGTTTCTTAGCTGGGAAGTTTCCCAAAAAGATGACTCCGCACCACAGAAGAGATTTATGGTTTTAGTTTGGAAGGCTTTACTCAGAGTCTGGCATGGTAAGGACAGTGGGATGTTGTATGCTGTAAAGCCCTCTGAGGCAAATTGTGATTTGTGATATTGGGCTTTATAAATAAAATTGAACTGAATTGAATGTTTATGATGCTTCATACTAACATTACTGCCAGCATCGTGCCATTTTATTAAATTAATTACCTCACCTCTCTGTGGTCAGTGTCATTTGTCAGAGAGTCATACAGAGACTCCAGCTTATCCCAGCTAGTCCCACACAGGATCAGTCTGGCACCACCCTTGTGGAAGAGATTGGCACACTCTGAACAGAAAAAAGAAAAAAAATGTTAAGTAACTTTGTCACTTCATTTAATTAGTTATTATCATTCAGTAGTTCGACATTTTGTGATATACACACATTTCCTTTCTTGTTAAGAGTTAGATAAGAAAGTTATTATACTAAATATGAAGATACAGCCAGCTGCTGGTTATCTTAGCTCAACATATAGACTGAAAACAGTGGGAACAGCATACCTAGCTCCGTCAGCAGATATGAAATCTGGCCACCAGCAACTCTGAAGCTCACTTATTAATATATCTCATTATGTAGGGTTATGTGTTAAACTACTTGGGCGGAAGCAGTTACTTCCCGAAGTCTTGTCAGCACAGTGACTCCTTCTGACTACCTACCTGAACAGAGCCAGGTAAGCGTTCTGCGTGTACAATAAGCTAACAGCCCCTTTGCAGTAGCATCATATTTTGTGTACAGATATTAGAATGGTATCAGTCCTCTCTTCTAACTCTCAGCAAGACAGAAAATAAGTGTATTTCCTAAAATGTGAAACAGTCTAACTATGAAGCAAGAAATATCTGTCTCTCTATCTTTCTGTCTGTCCTTTCGCACTTGACGGGGACCCAAGGATGTGCATTGTCAAATTTAGTGCAATTTGGGCACGCAACACTCAATTTCGAATAAACAAGTAAAGCTCTGTGGCTCTGTGTAGCAATGGGGGTAGGGCTTCAGGGCTCTGCAGAGAGTCAAGCATGTCTCTCATAGCATATTTCATCAGTCTTTCTGACCGCCAGTAAGCACAAATTGGGTGTGTTTTTCTTTGCATACTAATTGAAACTTAGAATGTTAATTACATACTCGCTATCTGAAGATATAGTTTCCCTGGATGGCATTGCTCTGGCACAATCATAAGAGTAATATTTGTAAGTAAGATTTGTCTTTTGACTCCCATATAAAATAAACTTAAAGGACTGCGTTCTTTCACCTGTGTAATATTGCAATAATCTTGCATATCCTGGATTACTGCAATTCCTTACTATCAGGTTACTGAGGCAAATCTCTAAAGACTCTCCAGCTGATCCAGAATGCAGCATACATATACATATATATATATATGTGTGTGTGTGTGTGTACATATATATATATATATA